GGGGTGCCGTTTTCACTATCTTTCCAACTTGAAATCACAAGTTCCAAATATTTATTTCTACTCTGAAGAGAGCTTTTACAGTTTGGCTTTTTAACATACTGCCAATGAAACACCAAAAGAGAAATGTGTGACAAGTCAAAGTTTGCTTTTGGAATTCTTGAAAAGGAGAACTTCTTAGAATTTAATATTGAAAATGCTTAATATGGTAATAAGCAAAAATGGGAATATTGAGTTTTGAACATGCATTGCAGTGATTTTCATCCTTAAAAATAATATATTAAAAATAATAATATATTAAGGAGGTCTGAAAAGCACCAAAACCTATGACCGAGTGACTCTTGAACAGTAAACAAAACCTGTGACTCCTCAGATCTTAGTCTTCTTCCTAAACTGTTAATATGCTAGTGGAGTCCAAGGGAAGTATATTTAGTAAGAATAGCATGTATCTTGGGAAATGAGGAACTCGTTGAAGTGACAGTTATGCTAAAGATTAGCTGTGGGACTTCAGATAATCCACTTAACCACTGTGATCTTTTTTTTTTTTCTTATTAAAAAACTAGTGCTTGGTGCGCAAAATTCATGCACATTAAAAGGGTATTAATTAGAGGAAGTAATTTAGTATTGCTATTTGCCCTTTCTCTATAATATTTATAGAAGTGTTAGAGATGAAAGAAAATTAGTAAAATGTATATGAAAACCTTCCTCCTCTCAGATTCTGGGCACACCACGGGACTCAGAGTCCCATGCCCCACCCACCCACATGAGCCTCAAAATTGCAGACTCAGCCTTCACCCCACCATTGGGCTATATCCAGACTCGACCAGTCCCACCCTTGTCAAGCCCCACCAGGGGGCGTAGTCTCAGGTCCCCTAGCCCGGTGCCAGGACAGGGGCATGGCCTGAGCGGGGAGGTGTGCCTTGAGGTCCCCCATCAAGCCCAACCAGCAGGGGGGCACATCCTCAGGTCCCCCATCAAGCCCTGCTGGGAGGGAGGTGCAGCCTGAGTTTCTCTTACACAGCACTGGGGTATACCTTGAGGTCCCAGGTCAAGCCCCACCTGGTGGGGTGCATGGCCAGAGGTCCCCCAGCTTGGCACTGGGGCAGGGGGAGCAGCCTGAGGACCCCTAGCCCAGCACCATGATGGGAAGTACACCTTGAGGTCCCATGTCAAGCCCTGCTGGGTCAGGGAGCATGGCCTCAGGTCCCCTGGACTGGTGCCCAGTGGGGGGTATGGCCTGAGGTCCCCAGCTTGACACAAGGGCAGCAGGTACAGTCTGAAGTCCCCTGTCAAGCCCCACGGGGGCGGGAAAGGGTTTAGCCTCAGGTCCCTGCTGATTGCTCTTTAAGGCTTCTTACGGGAACTTGGACTCAGCTGTGGATAAAACTATCTTTGTGATGGAGTGATGGTCAATTAGCATATTCCCTCTTTATTAGATAGAATGGAGTTTGACTATCCTATCCTGCTTTAGTTTTCTCATAACACTCTTTATTTCTTAGCCTGACTATTCCATGGTCTGGGTATAAGAATCAAATGACAGAATATGTAAAACATAAAGTGTTTTTTTGGTGTTTTTTTTTTTTTTTTTTTTTTTTTTGCAAAGGGAGTTTATTATCACTGTAACTACCATATCATAAATACATTTTCACTATTATAATAATCCACACTTTAGTTCCTTAAAAGAAAGCAAATGCTTATTTTTGATTATTGGCTTTTATCACCACCTGAGATGAAAATGATGCTCCCACGTTCCTGAGCAAACAAAGAAATCCCATATAGAACTGCCCACAGAAAGACCATGTTCTAAAGCCAGAATCATGTGACTTGAAGTCCAACTCACTGCACTTGAAATACATTGCATGGAACTCAAGTTTTGATGTTGTTATAATTCATTTTTATAAATTTGAGGATTCCCTAAAGAGGAGGAACTCATGGAAGGGTCCAGAACAACAAGATAAAACTCTTACTAGTATCATATACATTTACAGTACTCTAGGGTTTTCAGACTATCTCTCCCCTGTTACACACATATCTTGTTGCTCCAACCAGAGGGGTACCCTACACAGAAAGAGCCGCATGAAAGACCAACAAGTCTGCTGACATATATGTCACCATAAGAGATAGCACCTTGATGCACAAGAGGTTGATTGATCCCCCATCCTGTGAGGTAATCCTCCCACCCCCATAGTCCAGAGTCAGTTTCCTCTTTTATTTTTGTCAACAACACTTTCTTTTTGTTCCTCTCCTCCAACTAGGAAATACATCACTGACACAGACACAATATACCTTTTCATAAGGAAGCAAATGAATATGTGCCAGATGGGCTGAGGGGATTACAACATGTTTCCTGCTTCCATGGTGACCCAATGGATCTGGTATGAGAACTTAATCTTATTTGAGAAGTCAGCTTCCCAGAATTATGAGTCACAGTTTCCTTGTAGAAAGCTCACTTTCCAAAAGAATTTGGGGTGGGGGAGCTCTTTGGAAGAATTATAGTAAAGGTCATTCAGATAAGCAACACTGCTTAGATGATTAGGGAAGCACCAGCACCACCAACTTCTGGGACTTCACTGTTCTCCCAGTAGAAATAATACAGTCACCTCTCTTTTCCTTCAAGGTGAGGCAGCATATCAAACCACATTGATGAATTGCTGGTATGAATCCAAACAAGAAGTTCCATTATAAAATTGGCCAATTTTCCTAAAAATAGATGTGAAAGGAATATATATTAGAGAGAGAGGGAGAGAAAGAAGGAAGATGAATAAGAATAAGAATAAGAATAAGAATAAGAATAAGAATAAGAATAAGAATAAGAATAAGAATAAGAATAAGAATAAGAATAAGAATAAGGAGGAGGAGAAAGATGAAGGAGGAGGAGGAGGAAGATGAAGGCGGAGGAAAGAGAAGGAGGAGGAGGAGAAAGGAGAAGGGGAAGAGGAAGGAAGGAAGGAAGGAAGGGAGGGAGAGAGAGAGGAAGGGAGGGAGGGAGGGAGGAAGGGAGGGAGGGAGGGAGGGAGGGAGGGAGGGAAGAAGGAAGGAAGGAAAGAAGGAAGGAAGGAAGGGAGGGAGGGAGGGAGGGAGGGAGGGAGGGAGGGAGGGAGGGAGGGAGGAAAGAAGGGAGGAAGGGAGGAAGGGAGAGAAGAAGAAATTAAGATGGAGATTGGAGGAAGAAAAAAGAGAGGGAGAAGGAGAGAACAGAATGAGTTAATATATTAATGAGTTATGAGAAAACTAAAGCAGGATAGGATAGATAGTTATTGGCAGGGCTATTTTAGTGAAGATTGTTAAGGAAGACCTCTGTAAGCAGAGAATTAAGTCAAATAAAAACAAATTATGATCAGGGGTTATATTAAGCATATTTAAAAATCAGGATATCATGGCACTGACCATCAACTGGGGCACTCACTAAAGCAGGACATATGTCAGTCTAAAAAGCCAATAGAGCTATTATATAGTCATGTATCCCACCTGAATATCAGCCCTGCATAATATACACTTTCATCTGTGAAGACCCCAGGAGCCAAGGAGATTGGAAGTTATCTCTCCTCTCAGCTTTGAGCTGTACTCTGTCCTAGTTATACCTCTCCTTCATTGGTATTTTTGGTTTCTAATAAAATTCTTTAAGTGTCATAGCAAAACTAAAAAACACCCAGAAAACATCATCAGGATGGTAGGAGCGCTCAAATCCATGTCATGTGAAGAACAGTTGAATGTATATATTTAAGAGCATGGTCATGATTATATGATCACTGTTGTAACATTTGTGGAGGCCTCTCACATAAAAGAGGAAATAAAGCAATGGTATTCAAGGTATGGACAATATTTTTAGGGGAAATATACATTAAAAGCTTTTTAAAATTAATATCTATATATCTAGGTTCCTTGCATTAAAATTAGAATATCACTGGCTTATGTATGTTCTACAATATTTAAATCAAGAAGTTGAACCAAAGAAATGTATGGAAATGACATAAAGATATATTTCATTTATATGTACTAAGATCTAAAATGTTATCAGTCCTTGATCGATGATTCTCTCTCATCGATGTTTCTAACTCTCTATCCCTCTCTCTTCCTCTCTGTAAAAAATCAATAAAATATATTAAAAAAAAGAAAAAGAACATTTTGCCGAAACCGGTTTGTCTCAATGGATAGAGCACCGGCTGGGGACTGAAGGGTCCCGGGTTTGATTCTGGTCAAGGGCATGTACCTTGGTTGCGGGCATATCCCCAGTAGGGGGTGTGCAAGCGGCGGCTGATAGATGACTCTCTCTCATAGATGTTTCTAACTATCTCTCTCCCTTCCTCTCTGTACAAAATCAATAATATATTTTTTAAAAAATGTTATCAGTCCAAAGATATAACCAGATATAATTAGATAACCACTAGTTAGAGATACCAGAAAATAGTTCTGAATAGTAATTCTAGAGAAGAGAGGAGATCTGAAAAGATAAACTTTCAAGTCCCTTGTAAGTCTGATTTCATATAATTCAGGCTCATGATGGTTGAGTTTGGGAATTCAAACTCAATAAAGGCTTTGGCTGGCGCTTCTTATGAAGCAACACCCAAAGAAAGATTGAGCCTGACTGTTTTTTCTTTCCTATATAGAAGCAGCATGACAGATGTTTTTATAACATCTCACTTGACTGTTACCACCAAGGCCTTCTCCACCACTGGCTCAAGTTTGGAAAACAGTCTACAATCACTGTCATTTCTTTTCTTATAGGACCTGCTATAAGAAAAAGAAGCAGGGTTCTAGTTGTTTTGGATCTGGAAAAGTCCTAACATTTTCACACACCAGATCACTAACCTAATCGCACTGTGTACTGTGAAGACTAGAGATGTCAGTGGTTCCTCCTACCATTAAAATTCTCTGATTCTCTCAAATTTATGATGCTGTGCTACCACAATAGAAATGAATAATATTATCTTCATTTCCATAAAGACTAGAGACAAAACACTATTCATGGCTTGCATTTCGATTGTCAAAAGCCATCCACTTACCCGAGGCATCACTTTGCAAGATCCCATAGAAGTAGAGGCTCGTTACATACCACAGAAGTCCCATCTTGTCCATCTAAATACAAAGGTAAGGAAGAGGACTCATTACTCACAGTACTTAAATAATAGTTAATGTATACGCATAGTGACTATTAATCAGGAACTATTCTGAAAATTTTACAATATTAACAAATTTAATTGTCAGAACCAACCAATAAGATAGGATTTTTAAAATCTCTGTTATAAAGAAATTGGGACAAGTTTCAATCACAAAACCAAGATACTTTGGATAGAAAGTGGTAGAGTAATCATCAAACTCCAACAGCCTATCTCTAGAACCCTTCCTTCTTTTCTTTTTTAATTAATTAATTAATTGATTAATTAAATTGATTGGAGTGACATTGGTCAACATGAGCATGTAGATTTCTGTATATTGAACTGTGTGCCCACCACCCAAAGTCAAATTTTCTACTGTTACCTTATATTAGGACCCCTTTCTCCCATCACCTCCTTCCCTCTGGCAACCACTACATTGCTGTTTGTGTTCTTAAGTTTCATTTTTATATCCCACATATGAGTGAAATCACATGGTTATAAGCTTCTTCTGACTGATTTATTTCACTTAGCATAATGTTCTTAAGCTCCACCATGCTGTACTACATGTTGTAGGATTCCATTGTGTATATGCACCACAGTTCTCTATCTCGGGACGCTTTGGTTGTTTCTATGTCTTAGCCATGATGAATAATGCTGCAGTGAATATAGGGGTGCATATATCTTTGCAAATACATAATTTCAAGTTTTTACATATATACCCAGGAGTGAGATTGCTGAGTCATATGGTAGCTCTATTCTTAATTTCTTTTTTAGGAAGACTGCTTTCCATAGCAGTTGTACCACTAGCAGTGGATGAGGTAGATCCATTTATTAATCTGATATATAAACTGAATTATAAAAACCTACTTACAAAAAAAAAAAAAAAAACACTCTGGATTTTTTTTTTTCATTAGGGTCACATTCCAGCAGATGTTTGATCATCTTCTTTTCTACACATTTCTTTGGTTTATTTCCAACTGGAAGTATTTTATAATCCAAGCAATTTTCCTTCTTTGGGATGAATAGGAAATCTAGAAATTCTGAAATCTGACTTGGTCAGCAGTCCACTACACTATGAATTTATAGTAAAAGGAAATATATAAACCATATGCCTTGTTGTGGCTGCTTTCTTATTCTCAGTGGAAAAAAACAAATGATGACTCTTGAATCCAATTTCTATGGTATTGAGCCTCTCTATTGAAAACCAGCTGAAATAGTCAACCAGCAAGAACCATGTCCTTACTTTTGGTTGTGTGATCTTTAATGCAGAAGGCCTAGAGATTTAACAACTCTGTGAAATATTTCTTTCCTTAATACCCGACATATTTGGCCCCTGGTAAAGCCTTTCTAGGATTATAAATACTGAAATATTTACATTACTGAAAAATTTCATACTATAGATCTCTCTTTTTGTTTTTGAACACAATAATCATATGTATGGGTGCTTACCAGAGGTCTTGAATATGTGTCCAGATTGTATTTCTAGTAAGTGAAAGAGATGCATTTTATACCTATGTCTGGCTAACTATAAGACTATTATTATCTCAAACATTATGTCCTATGCCATAAGCTTTACAACCACAGGGAGCCACCAGACTTAAAAGGTCAAAGAGTTAGTTGATTAATAGGGTGACCATATAACAGCATTTAAATAGGACAATTTTAAGAGTATTATGCTAAAATAATAGGTGTAAATTGATACTGTCCAAGCAATCCACACAGTGTGTAGTCAGTCACTTTAAAAGGCAATGCAAGTTTCCAACTCCTATCACCTCTCTTAACCACACATCATCAGAAATATCTGGTTCATACTGTGCTTTCTCCTCTAGCATGGTCATATGCAAATCAAGTGACTTGATTATATCTTAAATAACTGTTTTATTCCAAAGATTAAATGTATCTTCCTTATCACCACCATTCCTTTTCTATTCATATACTGTTACTTTAGGGAACGCTTCTCTCCATCATTCATGGGTTCAATAAAACAATGTACTGAAGTCTTTCTGCTTTTAGGTCTCTCTGATAGGACTGTAGGGGCCACTAAGGACACTTCTTCCCAGCAGAAGAAATAAACCACATGTAAACCACTTCAATGTCATCAGCTAGGAGCAACACAGACGCAGAGGCTCTATAGGATATGTAAAGATTTACCAGGCAGACATTCTAGCACCAGGCAGAGTTTAGCAAGCCTTAAAATGTGTATACAAAATAACTGTGGTACAGAATAAACAGTGATAAAATAGAGAGGAGCAGATAAGTACAACTGAAGACTAGCAAAAGACAGAGATGACTCTCGCTAAGGCAATTGGAGAAGACTAAATGTAAAAGGGAGCCTTTGAACTAGCAAGAACTGGTTTGGAAATTTAAAAGTGAGGCAGAATGAAAGTCTGTGGAAAGGAAGCTCAATGGAGAATAATGCTCAAAGATAGGGGAAAATGGACCATAAATAGGAAATAGTCTATAAATAATTCAGTTTGGCTCAAGCACAGGATATTCGGAAAAGTACTATATAGAAGATTTTGTTGGAAAGCAGGAAGAGTTAGGATTACAATATAACAAGGATTTGTGTATCAGGTTAGAAACTTGGGGTTTAATTTTAACAGCAAATAGGGGAATCATTGAAGGATTCTGATTAGAGGAGTGATATTAACATCCAGTTCTGCCTAATGGAGATCATTCTTCCAAGCACGTATTAGATGGATTGCCACTAAATTCTGTCTTGAAATCATCTTGGCTTCCTAGTCTGTCATCCCAGTAATTGTTATCCTCCTAGCTTTGTGTCATCTATAAACTTGATCAGTATGCCACCTAGGTCCTCATCCAGGTCATTAATTAAATTAATTAATAATTCTGCATTAATCCTTGTCAGTGGAGAGCAACTAGATATTTCATTTCAGATTCAGGGCACAGTACTTTCAGCCCTAATACTATTCCTAAAGCAACACTTAGAAGACATTCTAATTAGGGTGATTGAGGACCTTAATTGATATTCTCATGAGTAACTGGATTATGCCAGAGGCAGCAAGGAGTCAGGTCACCAAGGTAAAGCTAATCAAAAGATAACTTGTGTGCAAAGACAAGTCCAGGGTCAGTTTGGCCTTGTGATGAATTAGAATAAAGCAGACTGGAAAAGAAAATGTGATTGTGTCGGCTGTTTTTGACAGACTAAAGGTACCGAGGTTAGTGGGAGGAGGTTGACTGGTCTGCGACCTCTCTAAGAAGGCAGGTTCATTTAACATCATCTTGCATTCTGCCTCAGGATTTTATTATTGTGACTAATAATGCATTTTTCTTAAGAAAAAAAAATAGGGAGTATTTATTGACTTTGAGGGAAGGAGATTTGTACTTTCACTTATTTATACATTCATTGGTTGCTTCTTATATATGCCCTGACCAGAGATCAAACCTGCATCCTTGACCCAATGAGTAATACACTTTGTTTCTTGTTTCTTGGGGGGAGGAGGTACTGGGTATTTGCAGAGATGGAAAAGCTGTCAGAAAGAATAGAAATCTGCTTAATAACACATGGTTTCTCATGGTCTGAATTACAGTCTAGCTTTAGATTGCTGTGATAGAGTTTAACAGACTCTACTTTTGCTTCAGATTATGGAAACTTTTATATAATAAATTTACATTCACTCTCTCTTCATTATCCATTTTATTTACTATATGATCATTTTTATACTTCCTCTCTGAGGTATTGGTACTTCTCTTATAGTCAATGCCCTTGTGTCCTGGTATATCAATTTGGATGCCTATATCACCTAATGAAAAGTTTCAAATATGCACGTAGGTCTATGTTATCAACAACAATGTTAATAATGATCACTAATGTGTGCTCAGAACTTTTACATCAACTCCTGCATATGAAGCTTTCTATTTTTTTGCCTTCTCTAGGCTCAATAAGCACCAGGATCTCATTTCTGAGTTAGGCCTGGATTTTCTCCCTGAGCAGTGGGTAACAGACTAAATAAAACTAGTTTTGCTTCCCCAAGGATGGTAATTTTTCTACCTGACCATTTACTCAGATTTAGTTCCACACATAAGCATTTCAATAGTCCACAGGACTGATTTTTTCCCTCAGTTTCCTGATTCTACATATAGCTCCATATTTAGGTCATGGCTACTCTTTGAAGCCCATGAGCCTAGTTGGAGCTTGAACCTTCAACATGGTGTTTTTCAGCACATTTCCAAGAACCTGCACCTAGATAAGTATAATACCTTGTAACCATGAAGCTGCTATCTTCTGCTTCATTCCTGATCAACAGATGCCTTTTGCTATGGCCCGCATACTGAAAATATGGCCACTAACACCAAGAAACAAACCTGAAGGTCATCCTTGTGTGAGGTCAGCCCTGCAGCCATATCACTTGCTCGAGTCCTGATTCAACCCAGATTCTTCTTTTTCCCTTCTCTAACTTATTGATAAAGTATGAGCAGATCTTGCACAGCTATGGCAAATACATCTTTGAAGGACATTGTTAATTATCCTATTTTGCAGAAAAGGAGATAGCATTTACTTAAAAATCAGAGTTATTTTCATCACCAATCTTTTATCTGGTTTCTAGTAGGTTTTTTTTTTTTTTTCCCCCCATAGAAGGATCCTTATGCAGAATATTTCAGAATCTAATATTTATCAATGAAAAGTTTCAGCAAAGTGACATGAAAGGCTCTGATTCTGGGTCAAACGAAGCAAGGAAACTCCACCTGTCATTCTCAATGAATTGCAGCTGTAAACTTAGGAAGACTACGTGAAGCAACTATTTGAGGACTCTAAAAATTAAGGAATTGGGTGTTATTTTCAAGTATATATGAACCTCAACATGCACCAGAAAGCACACTATAAAACATTTAAAAGAATTAAAGTCAATCTTCTCTCTACATAATTAAACAAGAACTCTATAAAAGAAAAATAATAGGGTAATCACTTCAAAATTAAGAAATATAACTTTAAATAACACATGGATCAAATAGGGAAAT